ACGTTTAAATATTGTAAAATAAATAAAAATTCACATTTATTTTTTTTTAGATATGAATTTTAGATATTGATCATCACCGTGGTTCGAACCTCCGATCAAGCACTTCTAGTAACTGCAAACTGATTTTTTTGCACGTTAATTCAATCAATTCGATTTTCAACTCAACTGGTTAGAGGTTCTTCGTACTGTCGGACTGACCTTGGAAGGTTTTCACTATTAAGGACAGGATTAAGGATAATATTAAGAACAACAAAACCTTTCTACGAATCTTCTGTTCAACACAGCTCAGTTCAAAACACAGTTAAAAAAATTTCACTGACCAACGAAACATTTATGAGAACTATAGGCATAGCCTGAAAGAAGTGTTTAAGGAAACAAACATGGCTCGAAACGTGCCTTTAAAAAGAGATCTAGCATTTGTTTTTGTTTTTTAAACTCCTCTAAAAATTTGTCTTTTTAAAAGAATAAACTAGAGAATCCACATAAATTCATAAATTAATCATCCATTTATTTTAATCCTTTTGTTCCGAAATTCCCAAGAGAATACCGAAGTCAAGCATCCTTGACTGCCGTCAAAAGAATGCGTGACCACTTTGATCAGCCAGCTTAGGAACCGAGGGTGCGCGGCTCTCGTTGAACTGTTCCGTAATGTGTCCGCGAGCTGGAGAGAATTGTGAAGGCGGATCATCCTCAGGAATGTTCACCAGAACGTTGCTAATAACCCATTGTGAACCGTGTTAGCTCCAGGGGATAGAGCATTCACTTTCCAATGAGATGAACCGGGTTCGAATCCCAGCGATAACAGATCGATTCGAATTCTGCACTCGGCTTCCACTGACCACAGTGCTAACGTAAAATATCCTCAATGGTGGACGGATTATGAGACTTCCCTGGGAGGTGGGACCGTGGGAGGTTTTCATGGTTTTCCTCTCCACATAACGCAAATGCAGGTTGGCTTTACAAAAAGACACCCACGAAGGCAAAATTTCTTCCTATGCTTGATCCAGGAGTTCCCTTGTCTTCTGGATAGGATTCAACTGAGGAATATAGTAAAGTTAATAAATTTTATCTGAAAAATTGTTTTATTTATAGTAGTTAGTAAAGCAATAGTTGTTACTTATCATATAAGAAGTTCAGTGCTATAGCGTAGGTGGAGAATTCGAAAGCGAGTGTAAAATTTCTAAATTCGCATGAATCGACCACAGTGCTGACGTGATATATCTTCAGTGGTGGAAAGATCATGGGTTGGAGTCCCTTTTTGCCGTCTGACTAGTCGAGGGATGTTTTCATGGTCTTCCTCTGCATGTAACGCAAATGCAGGTTAGTTCCACCAAAATGTCCTCCACCAAAAGTTTTACCAAAATTTCGCCCGTTACATGATCCAAGATTTCTCTTTCCTTCTGGATGGGTTCAAAATTTGAAGACATTTGTAGTCGTGAACCCAAAAAATTGGGTCAGCTGTTCAATGACGGTTGTAAAATAAAATAATAACTCATTGTGCTGATCTAGTGCAATATTAAAAAAGTATCTACCTATCTAAGTCACTTTTTTTTCAATCATTCTTTTTCGTGATTTTAAAAATAATTTTAAAAAACTAGGCAGTTATTTATACTTGGTAGTAAATTGACGTTGTACAAATTTAGATTTTTAAAAACGACTTCATCGTTTAGTGTGCTGAATATGAAAAGATTAGGTCCAACATGGAGATTTGGAGCACGCTCCAAACTGCTCAGACATTGCTACTCGTCAACAAAAGTTAAATCGGTTTTCATCTTAAGAGGAAGCGATACCACGGGAGAAACTTTTCATTGTAAAATCTCTTCCACCTTCAAAAAGGATTTTGAATATAAACTATCGAAAAATTGAGATCAGGAAAAATAGTTTCAAATACTGAAATGAAAATTTCAAAATATCAGAAAATAAGCACTTTGTGAGAGGATAACTTAGGAACACGCTACAGGGAAGTTGCCTTCCAATAATTGATTGCATTTTTATTTTTTCAATAAAAATTTTTTTAGCAATTAAAATTTTTTGACTAACTTAAGGTGTGCCAGAACTCACGTTTTCTTTGCTTGAATTTACACTGGCTTAAGAAATTAAGAGAATTTGCAGACTTGGTCGATTATCTTTAGAACTACNGCCTTCCAATAATTGATTGCATTTTTATTTTTTCAAAAAATTTTTTTTTAGCAATTAAAATTTTTTGACTAACTTAAGGTGTGCCAAAACTCACGTTTTCTTTGCTTGAATTTACACTGGCTTAAGAAATTAAGAGAATTTTTAGACTTGGTCGATTATTTTTAGAACTACAGGACCGATTTTAAGGAAATGTACTTACTTTGATGCAATACAAAAGAAATAATAATTGTTATACACATGCATGATCGTGCGTTATACTCGTTGGAAGGTATGAAATAGCTGTTGCAGAAAATGGGTTCTTACAGGCGTGATTTCATACTTGAAAAAAGGCAGTTTATTATTGTCGTGTGTGGCAATTTCATACTTTCTGACTCCAACGAGTGTTGCACTCACGATCATCATATGCATCTGTATTAAAATTGTGGAATGTGTTATTTGTTTTGTATTGTATATCAAATCCGTTCAGTAGTTCTAGAGATAATAGTCTGAAAATTCTCTTAATTTCTAACACCAGTGTAGTTAAGGAGGTAGTACTAAACTTGCGAAGAAATGTTACTCCTCTTAAGAGATGTTCTGTTATAAATAAACAATTATATAGAATTGAAATGTTCAGAATACAAAATTTTCATTTTAATACAAAATGTTTTTCCAATGCTGAATCGACAATATTTTTTTCACTTTTCCATCAAAATAAAAGAGGCAAGATATACCTATAAAGTACACATTAAGAAAATTAAGAACTTGACTAGCGCATTTAAAGAATCACATCACTTTCAGTAGGAACGTTCCATTAATTTATAAAAATTGCGAATTGCAGTTCATTAATTTTTACGCTTCATTTCTAGTTTAATTTTTTGAAGAAAAAAAATTAAATTATTGGTAAAATAAACTGTAAAACAAATAGCAACAGTTAAACGATTAACTTCTCAAAAGTTTAAACAAAATTGGAGCGGGCCCCCATAGCTCTGTGTCACTGAACAGGCCCTTCGCTGGAAACGTTTTATCTGTAATAAACCCAGCAATTCCGACCCCGTAATGATTGTACTTAGTGTTTAGGGGATTGATCGCTGGCCTCTCAATGAGGTGCTCCGGGTTCGATCCCAACGATACCTGGTTGATTTGAATTCCGCATCCGTCTCACACCAACCCCACTACTGACTTAAAAATATTTTCAGTGGTAGACGGATCATTAGGCTAACCGAGGAAAGTTTTCCTGGCTTTCCTCTACATGTAACGCAAATGTGGCTTAGTTGCAGCAAAATGTCCTCCGCGAAAACAAATTTCTTACAATACTTGATCCAGAAGTTCCCCTGTCTTCTGGATTGGGTTCAAAATTACAAGGCCACAGAGTTGAACATTAGTAGTCGTAAACCCTAAATTTGGTCGGCTGTTCAACGACAGCTATAAAATAAATAAAAAAAATGAAGCATACTTAGTGATTAATACGCGGTGGATAAGGGTATAGAGCATTCACCTGCCAGTGAGGTGACCCAGGTTCGAATACCAGTGGTGGCTGCTTGATATGAATTCTGCTCTCGGCTTGCACCAACCACAGTGCTGAGGTAAAAAATATTCCCACTAATAGTTGGTTCGCGAGTTGGAATTCTCTTGCCGTCGGGTTTACCGTGGGAGGTTTTCGTAGTTTTTTTCGCCATGTAAAGAAATTGAGGATAGGTAGAGTTCCATTAAAAATTCACCAACCAAGGCTAGTTTATCCCAATGCTTGATCCTGGCGTTCCCTTGTCTTTTGGGTTGGGACCAAAATTACAAAATATTACATATTATGTACATAATCATAATATGCTTAGTGTTTAAAAAAGTAATTCCTCTCTTAGTTGTTAAATTTGGGTTGAATATTGATTTTTTTCTTCAATTTTTTTAAACATATTTCTTTGATCTGTGTCCAGAACAAAAAGTTCACTGACTGCAGGCATATTTGAAGCTAAACACCGTAATTTCATATTAAATTAAATTGACAGTTCATTTTCAAGAAAAGCCATTTCTGTCCTGCATATCATTTAAAATACGCAGAACATTTTTCTTCAAACATTTATTAAAATCTTAAAGACTTATAAGTGCTTGTATTTTGTAATTGTTTATTTTCTTATTAGTGATATGAATTTAAATGATTATGAATTATGATTATGAATTTAATTTATTAATGTTTACGAATATTTTTTATTAATGATTATGAATTATGATGAATTTAAAGTAAATATGAAAAAACTCTTCTTTAAAGACGTTATAATCTGGAGAAATTTTACACAAAAACCCAAATGCAGTAAATAACAGTTTTTAAACACTTTCAGAAAAAAATAAAATATGCATGAAAGTTTCGAATTTTCAGCGTTCCCCTCTAAAAGATTTGTTACGACAGTACTGTTTAAAATCAATGCAAAGAATAGATTTAAAAAAATATATGTATATATGTCCGAATTTAGAGTTTTACAAGTTAAGTAAAAAGTAATCGCTTTTTTATCTGATTTCGCCAATTTAAGTATGCAAACATAGCCAACTGGCTGAGATTTGGCTTCGTCATACTTAATCTGGTAACCCTTCAAATTGTTTTAAACATTCACAATTTTATTTCTCTCTGTTTGATAAAAATTTGATTTGAGCTTGCTTTCTGCTATATTATATTAGCCTTTCACTAAACATTTAAGAAATCTTTAATTTTGACTGTTTGATTGATTTATTCTTACTGTAAGTACATTTTATCTTAAAATGCAAATTATTGTATTTTTTTAATGGAATTCTAAAAATTACTTTAACTCTTATTTCTTAAAATTTTCTTCAATGTTGCTGGTTGAAATATTTTTCGAAAAATGCCTTTCATGATTAATATCAATTATATATATGTATGTAAGCCATTTTTTACCTAACTCTAATTTCAACGAGAGCTTAGTACTGGTAGAAAATGCGAGTTTTTCTTTTTTAAGTACAATCAAAAAGTGCTTGCTAGAGTTTAAATTTTAACTCTAAGGTTGACTGCTATCTCTAAGAGATTGTATTGTCTGACATAATAAAAAATTAAAAGGGAGAATATGGTTCTATAGTGTCATTTAGTATCTAAAAGGTGTTATTGCCAAAATAATGAAAAGAAATAATGTGGCTCTTCAGTGTCGTTCAGTGCAGAAATGTTGCATAAATTTAATTCTTACTTTAATTAGTTAGATTAAAGAGTAAAATCAACGTCATTTTATTTTAGTATTCTATAATTTATGAAACAAATTAAAATATAGTTTTAATAGTTATAAGATTTTTAATTTAGGTCTATACAAAATAAACTTAATTTTAACACAGCAATAAATAAACAAATAAATAAAATCCAAATATAATAAGTTCTGCTATTCTGCTGTAGCATGTTTAAAAATATTTATAGTGAAAAATGAAATATGTAATATTATGAATTATTTTTTTTTGTATTCATATAATGGAAACTAATAAAATTAGCTGAAATACAGTTTTGAATTTAGTACGTTCTGAATAGTTATCAGAGAAATATAAACTATTATTGGTGAATTTATTTTATTTTTGAATGGAAAGACTAGAATTTTTCATAACTAGAATCCTATACATAATTTATTCAGTTTACTGTAATTGAATTTTTTATTAAAATTTTGCTTTTTTACTGACATTTTTCACAAATCAAGCTAAAGAAATTAAAAGAAATATTAAATAAATTCTGTATTAAACTACAATTCTTACTGGTTTCAAAAAACCTAATTTTCGAAACCCTTTTAATTTTTCCAAGGAACGTCAAGGTTCCGCGAACACCATTGGATTTACAAATTGGATAATTTTGAACCACTGCTCAATGAATCGAATCGAAGTCACGTTGAGGTTTAAAATATTACATTTTGTTCCTTAATACGGTTTCTCAGTAGATTAGTCTTTGAGTCATAATATATATATATATATATTTTTTTGCGAATGAATATGTCCATCATGATTATGTCTAGTTGGAACCATCACGGATTGTTGGTTCATGAAAGTCAAACTTCTCTTGATGGTTACCATCATATTATTAAAGTAGCATTTGCCATCATGGAATGATGGAAGTTTGTTGTCATATCAAAAACCATGAACACGCAATGGAAAATGCTGAATGATGGTGACCATCAAATGATGTTGTATCGTCAGAAATGGCACTGAAACCTACATAAACCATTAAAATAAATTTTTCGATGGGACCATCAAGAATTTTGGCTTGAATTTTATGTTTTAGCCATTTTTATATCATATCATAAAAGACTGCAAATCATCCCACTTACCATAGGGAGAAGTACACTAAAAACGGCTAAAAATAAAAGAACATTTATTATAGCAACTTTTTCATATTACTATAGGNCTACTTGTTTTGATGGTATATTTTTGAGAACCAAAACCATCATGATTATGTCTAGTTGGAATCATCACGGATTGTTGGTTCATGAAAGTCAAACTTCTCTTGATGGTTACCATCATATTATTAAAGTAGCATTTTCTATCATGGAATGATGGAAGTTTGTTGTCATATCAAAACCCATGAACACGCAATGGAAAATGCTGAATGATGGTGACCATCAAATGTTGTTGTATCGTCAGAAATGGCACTGAAACCTACATAAACCATTAAAATAAATTTTTCGATGGGACCATCAAGAATTTTGGCTTGAATTTTATGTTTTAGCCATTTTTATATCATATCATAAAAGACTGCAAATCATCCCACTTACCATAGGGAGAAGTACACTAAAAACGGCTAAAAATAAAAGAACATTTATTATAGCAACTTTTTCATATTTCTATAGGTAATTTCTGTTTGTTTTTTAATACTTGTATTAAAAATGTATGTATATAGTTCTTCATGTTACGATCGGACCTTATAAGACTTTTTTTTGTTACTCTACAGAGAGATAGGATTTAATTTTGTTAAATAGAAAGGTAATTAGAACTAAATGACTTGCAATATTACATTCATGCAAATCATTTTATTTATAATATTATAAAATATTACGTTATAATATTATATTTTATGAAATTCTTAATACAATACTGCAAGTCATTATATTACATGTTACATGTATGCAATATTGAGATAATGAAATTGATAAAAATTCATACTAACGTTTAGTTTGTTTTGTACCATAAACAGTTAAATAACTTTTTTAAAGGGGTCACTGTCAATTGTTATTGCTGCATTATTTAAAAAATATTTTTGAAATGAGGCCCACCATTATAATCTTTAGGTGTTTTACTGGACAAAGCATCCTTAAAATTATTTTAATATATTTCTTTTTTTTTAATAAGCCACGAAAAATGAATTATAATTTTACACCAGTATGGTAAATGACTGTGCATAGTTACTACTCAGTTACATTGAATGGTTTAAGATCCTTAATATTTAGGTTTAATACGGATACTTTGTATTAACTTCGCAGAAAAAAATAGCTCAGTTTTTTTTCCCAATGTTTTGCTTCTTAAGTTTCTAAACGTTTTTATTTTTTTTGATAACAGGCGAAAAAAACAAAAAGAAACAAAACATGTTAACAGAATATGTTCCATATTAGGAGATAACTTGCCTTGATGAAAATAATTAAAGGTTTCTTTTGTTCGCTTTTATAATAATCTGTATAAATTTCCAATCAAATGACTTTGATAGACGGAATTTTCTTCAAATATGTTATTTACGAAGTTATTACTAAAACCGCGTTTAAATGCTAAGTTTTGGGAATGAATGCTGTATGGAATTCCCCACACAGCAAAATATACAGTTCACAGCTGTCAAAAGTAATTTGTTATTTTTGAATGATTTTGTTTCTCCTTAATCCTACGAAATCAAACAAAAATCTAATAATTTTGATACTACGAGAGCTTTATATTAAAATCAGTAAAAAATTTAACATTCTTTGCTATCTAGACAAATAACTAACAGTTTCCGTCTAATCTTATTTCCGGTGAATCAAACCTAAATGAGCAAGAATAGTATTTTAGAAGTTTAGTGGATTTTTATGTATAAATTAAAAATTTTTTTAATTTATACGTTATATATTTATACCCAATTATTTGCCTGAAATACTATCCAAACAAATTATGCATTGTTTCTTATTTATTTATACTCTGAATTGAATAAAGTTGTACTGAAGCTGAAAGAACTAATAATTTAGAAAAAATGAGGATTTTATGAATCATATTTTTATTTGCCTCTTTACTTATTAAACTCTTATAATTTCGGAGTTATTGCTCTTATAAGCTTAATTTCAATTTCATTTCAATCTGCGCGATGCCAAAATTACACAACATTTCCCAGATGGCAATTTCCCAAATAACTAATCAAGTATCAATCGAAAATTGTTCTTTATATATTTAAAGTCTTTATAACTTATAAACTGTCAGACCAATTAACTGTTTTTCATCGTATTCTTACAGTATCAAAATAATCATTGAAAAATTATTGAAAAAATTTCTCACTTATCCAACCTCTCATAATAACCCTTTCAATAAATTAAAGATGACGACTGAAGCTTATGTCACGAGTGGAGGTATTCATGAATCTAAAGTCTAAGTCGCAACTTTAAAAACAATTTTAAGCTTAATTTATTCAACTACTGGCAGACCATCTTGCTATCATGAAAAATAGATATTGTTGAGCAATCGAATCTCATTTTTTCCACTGCATTTTTGATACTTTCTAATAATATTTTATTTCAAGATCTTTCCAGAAAAAGTGGAGGCAAATGCTGGTTAGTTCCATCAAAAAGTCCTCGCCGAAATTAAATTTCTCCCAATCCTTGATCCTGGAGTTCCCTTGTCTTCTGCATCTGGTTTAAAATTACAGGACTTCGAAATTGAACATGAATTGTCGTGAACCCAAAATTGGTTCGACTGTTCAACGATGGTTATAAATATAAGTATTAAACTACTGGCATAGCATATGATGAAAAACAGGTATTATTGAGAAATCGAATCTAAATTTTTCCCCTGCATTTTTGATGCCTTCTAATAAATTTTTATTTCACGATCTTTTCAGTAAAAGTGAACATCGCAGACGCTTCATTTCTGGCTGTTTTACTTGCCTTTGTCATTTACATTAACTTGTCTTGTTTTTATTAACTGGTAAGAAAACAATACCAGTAATATAACTGGAATTGTTTTCTCTTCCACTAATTCCATTATTGTTACTACTGTGTGAATGGCATCTTAAAAACCAAATCCTAAATTCGATCTCGAAAGTTTGTTTAAAAGCTTTGTTCATCTTGATTGGATTTTTATTTTAGCACAAAAATAGACTATTGGAAAATTCAATTGAAGAATAAAGTGTCTATAAACGAACAGTTTCGCATGTTTAAATATCAAGAATTATAAAGACTTTTGAACCTGAGATAAACAAATAAGCACACTAGGTGTGTTTGTACATATACCCTGTATAAAGTTGTTGCAAATCGGCATATTCTGTGCACGCGTACTATGTTAGCTGATTTGCAATGTTTGTAAAGATTCTTGATAATAAAATGTTCTTCATAAAATAATAGTCTTCAGTTACAAATTACATTACTCAAAATAGTAGTTTTCACATTCACCCAAATTCTGAATTTTTCAGTTTTTCAGAACCTTAAAAATGTTGACGCAATGTGCTATTCATGATTTAATTATTTTTTTATAATGAATGCAGAAATATATATAAGCATTGTTCTACGATTCATTTTATGCTATTTTTTAGAAAGTGTGAAAGCTTTTATTTACTTTTTATAAATATGTTACTTCTAATATTAGATAAATCTTGAAAAGATTAGAACCCAGAAATCATGTAACCTCACAGCAACCTTGTGTCAGAAGTTTCTTTTTACTGTGTCGCGAAAATGTTTACACTAAAACCGTTTTTTCAATAGAGCAAAAATGTTGAAATTTCAAACCCTTCATCCAAAAAGAATTAAAGATTACTTTTAAAGCCTTTTTAAAAAGTATTGAGCCCCGCAGTGGACTGATCGTTAAGACACGGTTCCCAGCAGATCACCGAAGTCAAGCATCACTGGCTATGGTCAGTGTGCGGGTGGGTGACCACTTGGATCAGTCTGCGAAGGGACCGAGGGTGTGCGGTGTGGATCCTCGTTAAACTGTGCTACCGTAAAGTGCTCGACTTCGCGCGCAGGTCGTCGGGCTACCGAAGCGGGGGTGCCATCCCCTCCGCAGAGGAACAAAATTGTGATGGCATGTCTTCGGATCATCCTCCGGGATGTTTCCCAGACTGTCGCCAATAGCCCATTGTGCAGCTCTAGTGCGACGTAAATTGACAACAACAACAATTAAAAAGTATTGTCACTTAGGCGAAAAAAGGGCAAATGGTAAACCTTTTTACTATAGTTGACATGATGAGGTAAACAGAAATACAAAGTGAAAAGATTTTTCAAGGGGACGAAATAATGCAAATATAAACATTTTGTGAAAAAATATTAAAAAAATCGTATGCAAAAAACTTCATTCAAGGAAAAGCAAATAATGTAACAAAATACTTTTTTTTATTGTTTTCTAATGTCCTGCAAAACTACATTATGCGAAAAAATTATTTTAAGGTTTTCACGTAATCACCAATTGGATTTAAAAAATAAGCAAAAAAAATTTCTTGTCGATGGAATTTTTTTACTGGACACAGTTCAGATTGCATGTTTAAGAGAATGGACGCAGCTAAAAATGCGTATTCATGAGAATGGACACATAAATGGGATGTAAAAGAAAGATAATTTTTTACAGAACTAAATGCTATAACGAGTTATAAATGAGAGTTATAAAACTAATAATGACAGAGGCGTACAGAATCACGGAAAAGTGAAGTCACACTAGCGAGAGGATCAATTTACATTGTCGATTAAAATTTCATGATAAGGTGGATTTTAGCATAATTACAGCGTATAAAACGTCGAAGCTATAAAATTTCATTGAACTGAATAACACATCAGTCAATCAATTAGCAAAAATTATTTTTTTTTACATAAATTTGAAATTATCGAAATATAAATTGAAAAACAAAAAGTTTGATCAAAAACATTTTTGTGACTATCAAACTTGTGAAAATATTCGTAATATAAAGAAATATTTGACTATTTATGCTTTAAGATGTAATTGCAGTTCTTAGTAACTGAATTAGATTTAATACCTGTAAACTTAAAATAGGATATTATGAAATTAGATGCAAAAAAGAAACATTTTAAAAATAGAATATGAAAGCTTGTCCTTGAATAATGGTCAGAGTATATTTTATGTCAGTATGAAGAGTGATGATATATTGACATAAAATATATCCTGGTGGAGTGATTATATGAGTTTTGTTGTAAAAGGTTCAGAACTCTATACCGAGGACGAAACTTTTCATTTCAAAATCACTTAAACTGGTATTTAAAAGTTTTGGGGAGAAGTACCCGAGTCAAATTTTTTATGGTTTTTCATTGATGGACTTACATAATCTTGATGAAAACCTTCAATAATTCCATTATTAACCATTATATTTTCTGATGGTAACTAACATAGTAACCATCATCTCAATGTAGGATTTATGATGGTCCAACATTAGAATAGCCACTTGTTTTGATGGTTCGTTCATGTTAAACAGTTACGAATTTCCCTCGTAGTATCTTAGAAATCAAAAGTTGGAACGATCATGAACCACCATCATCCCAATGTAGGAATTCCGACTGATTTATAACAGTCCAACATTTAAGAAAACCGGACTGTTTGAATAGTGTGTTACTGAGAATCAACAAGAATTCTCATTAAACCACCATGGAAATGTATAGTTGGAACCATCATGGATCATCAGAAATTGTTTGTTCATGAGAGTCAAACTTCTCTTTGATGGTTAACCATCATAGTATTGAAGTATCATTTTCCATCATGGAATGATGGAAGTTTGTTTGCATATAAAAAAATCATGACACATAATAGAAAATATTGGATGATGGTGACCATCAAATGATGTTGGACCATCATGAATCACACTGAAACCAACATAAACCATCAAAATATTTTGATGTTATCATCAAGAATTTTGAGTTGGCTTACCCAACTCAAAATTCTTGCAGCAAAATTCTAACAGGCAAACTTAGTGAGAACGATGAAGTTTCATATGCAGAAAAAAATTCAAATGAATTACGGTAGGATTACTTCTTCACTCCGTAATCCTTTTTCATCCTGTAGTAATTTATTTCCATTTCCAAAAAAAATAATAAAAATAAAAAAATTTAAAAAAAAACTTTTATTTTGGAAAAAAAAACTTTCGCCGTATTTGAAATTTTATGGTTTGCTTTGAGTTTGCTTGAACTCACTTCGTCTACATTTCTGATTACTTATGTAGGTGAAAGAGAATTTACGATAAAGGATTTTTCCCGCGGTATAGCGTCCACTGATGATGTAGCTCCCGCTGATGAAAAAACAAGGTACTCTGATAACTTTTCTCTGTTTTGAATAGCAGAAATACGTACTTCTGTAGGCTAATGATATAGCTCAGGGGGATAGAAATGAGATGGAAAAGGGTTCGAATCCCTGCTTGATTCAAATTCCGCACCTGGCTTGCACTGACTACAGTGCTGACATAAAATATCCTCAGTGGTAGATAAATCACGGGTCCCCTTTCCGTCAGGCTGGGAGGATTTCGTGGTTTTCCTCTCCATGTAACGCAAATGCCAGTTAGTTCCATCAAAACGTCTCCCACGAAGGTAAAATTTCTCCCAATGTGTGATCCTATTTTCAAAATTACAAAGCTGCGGAGTTGTACGTTAGTAGTTGTCGTAAAATATAATAAAATAATGTGGAGTGACTGGAAACAAGTTCATTAGTTCAGTCTGGAAAACGACTCCTTCGGAAAGAAAAGATGTTGCTCTTCCTCTGACAATTTTCTGAATGAGGACCACTGTTCGAGGAGCCGCTATAAAGGAATGAATACTATAGATGAACAATGAGAAAACATAAAATATTTGTGTGAAACTCTGTGCTCTGAAAAATCCCTGTAAAAACTCTGACAAAAATAGTAAATATTTTTAGCTTTGGAAAAAGAGAATTTTAGCATGTTTAAAGAAATATTTTGCTACTTTTGAATTATGTTTATAATTTGAAAACATTTTTGATCGTCACACTAGAGCTGTACAATGGGCTATTGGCGACGGTCTGCAAAACATCCCTGAGGATGTTCCGAAGACATACCATTTTTGATCCTCTGCTGAGGGGTTGACGGTTTTAATTTAAGTAGTTGTACTTTATTTTACATTGCACTAGAACTGCATATTTCTATTGGCGACTTTCTGAGGAACATTCCTGAGAACAATCTGCACACTTTCCATTACAATTTTTATCCTTGGCAGAGAAAATGGTAGCCCATCAACCTCTGCACGAAGTCGATCACTTCATGGTACTAGGGCTGTTTTTTAAGTAAGGATCGTTTAAAAAAAACCAAGCCAAAGAACATTTTCATGAAGAAAAATTATTTTTTGATTCAACATACGTTTCTCGTTTTTTTTTTTTTTTTTTTTTTTTTTTTTTTTTTTTTTTTTTTTTTTNAACTAGATTTAGAACACCCTCTTCATATTAACTAACGCCTGCTCCGACTATCACGACTTTTTTCATTTCTTCGTCATCGTTGCCACCAGAATGATCTTTGAAACATCGGAAAATATAAAAAAAAATCACTTAGCTCAAGGTCTGGGTTATATTGAGGAGTGGTCCAAAACTTCCCATCCAAAAACTCGGGACTGCGCTGTGAAGAGAGTCATTGTCATAGAGTTGCAAAATTTCCCGTCACAATGAGAGGGAGTTTTGTTGCTGTCAGTGAATGTATGCAGCTGACAGGTGTTTTGCAGACTAAGAATGCATCAATAACCGTACCTCATATGATTTGTTAAACTTGAACATGTTAAAGACACAGAACTGACCATATAGGTTGCCTACACAGCTGTAACTAAGTACAGTTGTTCTCACGGAATGCCAGGACGCTACGCAAGCATTCATTGCGACAAAAGCGTCACATATTAGTGTACACAACAAAACTGTCCTTACTTTAAAAACAGACCACCTAGAACAGTTTAAGGAAGACCTACACGGCGATCCCTTTGCAGGTTGATCAAAGTGGTCACCCACCTGCTCACTCACCTGTCATCGGTGATCTACCAGAAACCGTATCTTGCGGACTTACAATTCTAATTACCTCTATGTTCCTTTTTTTTTCTTGTTTAGCTGCATCAACTCATTTTTAATGACCAATAATCTTTATTAAGGCCTACAAGACTGTTTAGGGGTAAAGGAACTGGCCTTGTTTCAGAAAAGTTCTGGGTTCGAATCCCGAGCAAGGCATGGATGTTCTTTCATTCTCTGTACTTTCTGTTCCTACTGTGGGAGCAACGTTGACCCACCTCATAGGGTACCCCTGAAAGAGTGGCCGAAAATTCTGCCCTGTAAATGCCTGAATTGACGAAATGCTAACACAAGTAGGCTTTGGAAATATTAAAAAAAAAATCTTTATCAAGTAAAAAAAAAATAATGAAAC